GCTCAGAATATTCTGGAAAGGAAGTCATTATCGAGGGAAGCGTTTTTTTCTCTTTATAAGTAGTCCCGATATCCCACTTCATTAATTCACCTATCTTCTTCAGATTACATGATGACACTATCAGGACTCTAGTAGAGGGGTTTGACTTTTTACCTAGCCCCAAATATGCATTTTCTTTGATCATATTTGACCTTATGCTAAAATATATGTCAATCAGTACTCGTGGTTAATTGTTCTCAACTAGAATTCTCCCTATTTTTCGTTTTGAGTTGATTACCTATACTCATTATTGGGGGAAATCTAAGCGCCATTCCTTTATCACCTTGAACTAAATAGGATGAACACAGTTTATATATGTGAATAACTGTCAGTCTTGGAAGTATATTCAGAACGAAAAATAATTAGTGCCCTTGATCACTACAACAAATATATGTTTACTTCATCGAAAGGCCCATTACATAATATAATATCGGAAAATGCCTGGCCTTTCTTGAAATTTAAATCGGCACTCGTGGCAACGTGGCTTAGTGGCTAACGCGTCGAGATTATACCCTGCACTGTCATGGTTTAAGTCCCGCTGTGGTTGTTGATAAGACCTATGCGAGGTCGAAACTTCAGTCCACTCTAAATGAGAGTAGCTTTTGGCAAGCAGGGCTATGCGAAAGTTAATGGAAATCTCATGACTACTCATCTCATTGTGGGAAAATTCAACTACCAATTCTTCATCATCTTAGACGAAATAAAATGAGCACAGTTCAGAATTCTTATTAGTCTTCTTAATTCCTGGTCCCAATGGCTAACATCTGCCAGATGCAGACACTCTATTATCGTAGACATCATAACGCCTACTTTAGCCCCATAAGTATGGTTGGAAAACGAATTGAAAAGGAATCCTGCGTTTTTGGTTTTCCTATACACATATCTACCCATTCCTGTTGTTGGATTGTTAACTAGAACATCTAGAAAAGGTAAACCATCTTCATTTTCTAGCTGGATGGTGAATTTCGTATTTCCGTCTAACCTGTTCATCAAACCAATTGAATTCTCTATTAAGATAAGATGTATTCACTCAATTTCGGTTAAGGTGATGAAGGACTGGTAGAAAAATTTTTCCACAATGATATGAGTAGAGCTGACGTTTCCATTGAATTTCACATAGTCTTGCCTTCCCAAAAGTTTTTCTCAACTCATATCATTGTGGGAAAATTTTTCAACCAGCCCTTTATCACCTTAACCGAAATTGGGTGAATATATCTCATATTACTGATTTACTGCTAGTCTCAAAACAATACTTAAATGCCATAAATTCACCAGGTTTTCTTTGCCATGCTGCTACAAGGTATAATAGTCGTGCATAAAACGAACTTATAAATTAGGAACTAAAAGTGACTCTTGAATAAGGCGTTGCTCAAATTTAACTATGTAATTACTTGCTAAAATTTGTGACGAACACGGTCCTATAGCTAAGTCTCATGTTTATTTGCACAATTTACCATTAAAGATAAAATATGTACACTTCATTGCCAAGTACCTAGATTCATTAGGACGGGAGTCGTAACAACCATGTATCAGAATGTTGTTCAATAGATTGAATAACTTGCCTCTGACGTCTTGTAGCTTGATTATAAGACGATTCCTACTATTATGTCGGTGAAACATCTGGAGATGTACTAAGTTCACAGTTCAATGTTGTGAATTGTGGTAACTACTATAGCCAATGACTTCGGACAAGGTGCATCCAACTAGGTCAACCTGACAAAACGACAAAGTTGCCAAAACTAGGCCAGCCCACTTATATACAAATTGAATTTTTATCTTTACGAGATGCATTCACCCTATTTCGTTTAAGGTGATGAAGGACTGGTAGTTGATTTTTCCCACAATGATATTAGTAGACCTTAGAGCTCCATTGAATTTATCATAGTCTTCTTTCCATAATGGTACTCTCATCTAGGGTAAACTGCAGCTGCGACCTCGCCTGGGTCTTAGCAACACCCCATTTGGGCTTCGAACCATGGCAATACAGCGTATAATCTCGAAACGTTAACCACTGCTCCACATTGTCACGAATAGCATTGGTTAGCAGGGCAGATGTGAATTTCAAGAAAGGCCAGGCATGTCCCCATATTCTGCTGCTTGTCAGTTAGTAGTATTTTTGGATTCCTGCGTTCCACTTTAATTTATTTAGAATTAATTTTTGTGAATAACAATTAATGCTTCAAAGATTAATTAATGATAGCCGTTAAATCACCATGTTATTCTTTCTTTTTAGTTTCTCGCGGCTAATTTGGAAGTCATTTCACAGCATTTTTTTTGTTCTTTTTTTAAATTTTTGCTCATTGTTTTAGAGCTTTGTCGGTTTGATCCTAGACCGCCTAGAGGCTTAATACTATCTGAGGATCTGTTTCATTTGGCCATCGTTTCGTCTACTTCAGCTGCTATGCATTCGGCCGCTGCAGCATACAATTTGTCATCTACTACTGCTTCTTCGACTAACGGTTAGTCAATAATCATTTCATTTTCTTTTTAGTACAATTTTCTAATCAAGACTTGAATTTTTCTTGCAATTATATCTACTTACCTACACATATAGCTCCTTTCTCTTTCAATTTTTATTTTTAATTATTCTCTTATCCCTATTTCTCTATTTTTCTCATTTTTATACCCGCATCTTTATACTTATTTCTTATTACATTGTATATGATTATACTTTTTTTCAGGTCATTTTTGATTACCATCATCGAAGCCTGTTTTTTCACACTTTTTTTTATTACTAGTTTATAATTGC